CCCCCAAAGTATAAAATATTTAAAAATTTACGGTATCATATAAAGACTAACTTCCGTTTTGAATTGGTAGTTTCATTGTCAAATGACTACTTTATTTTTAAGATACAAACATACTACTTAATTAGTTAGAAGTAACCTGAAAGTAAAGCTGATAATTTTTGCAGTCAGTGTTACTAGACATGATAGAACAATTTAAATTTCTCTGAATAATATATTTTAGGCATGTGTTAGTATGACTGAGCATTCAAACGTGTCTAAAAAGGGCTAGAAAATAAAAGCTAATCGCTTGTCAGAAATGGTTGAAAAAGAAATCAGGTGATTATGGTCACTCTAATTCACCTTTGATGATGCAATCACACTCAAATGAAATCTATGTCTGTAAACTGATAATACAAACAATTCATCTAATCAGAAAGTAAAGTTTTACTTAAATGCATTGATACTGAATACTTATACTTCTCAGACTTGTAAATGCATGTGATAGTAAATAATTGGTAGGGTCTATTTTTAATTGCAGCAATCAACCTTTAACATTTTTATTTACTACAAAGCTGGTGTGACTCACTCATATTTCTAATGTCATCAGAACTGAATAAAATAAAAAAGGTGCTGTAATTTGGACGTCTGTTTGATGCAGCAAAACGGAACTTCCCACAATTTGTGGATAGGTCCTACCACTGACTGTTATATATAATAATCATGTGCCGGACAGCTGTTCAGTACTAGTTTCTGACTCCTCAGAAGTATGCTCACAGGACTCAAGATCAGTTTGACCCTAAATCCCCGAGTATCATGGTATGCGCTAAATAAATGAATCACACCTTAAATATCATCCACTGTATACTGCAGAGTTATTCCCATCCAGTAGCGTAGATGAGTTACATAGTCAATGTCGACGAGTATAAACTACGGCCTTCGACCATATTTTCCGGAAATCTAACTTTGAGATATTCGCATATGATTGAATAGTTTTTATTTACACGAACTGTGCCTTACCCAATAAAGTAAGAAATTGAATAATAGTAATCAATAATTACTATCTTTTACACATTTACTATCTAGATCTTAATCTTAATTTACTACAATTAGTTGAACGGGATTAAGAAGTAATAATGGGAAGAATTGCAGTCCTTATTATTTAATTAAAGATAACCATAGAATACTATTACTTAAATTATGATTTATCAAGTGATTTCTGGCAAATGAGAATATTTTTATATCTCCATAACGAAACTTTAAGTATTTATTGCAACTGTTTGAAAGTTACCTCGATAAGAAAGTGAAGATAAGTGTGGGAAGAACATTTGTTCCAATTTCTGAAGTTATTACTTACTTAGTATAGCTTGTTACCCCCAATAGAGCATAGGCCACCGACCATCATTCTCCAACTCACACTTTCATGTGCCTTTCCTTTTAGTTCCATCCAATCGTTGTTCATTTTTCTCATGTCTGTCTCCGTTTTTCGACGTAATGTGTTCTTTGCTCTTCCTCTCCTCCTTTGGCATTGAGCATTCCAAGTGACAGCTTGCCTTGTAACGTAGTTGGGTGCTTTCCTCAATGTGTCCTATCCACCTCCAGCGGTTCTTCCTGATTTCCTGTTCCACTGGAATCTGGTTTGTTCTCTCCCATAGTAGGTCGTTGTTGATAATGTCTGGCCAATAAATCCGAATTATTTTGAGTAGACAGCTGTTAATAAACACTTGTGTGTTCTAGATGATGGCTTTCGTAGTCCTCCGAGTTTCCGCCATATACAGTGGAACTGTCTTGATACTTGTATTCAAAATTCTGAAGTTGGTGCTGAGGCTACTTCTACACTGGTCGTTTTCTCCTGCATTTATTGTTGCGTGTGCGATGGAAGAGACAGTTTGAATTTTGATTAAATGGATAAATAGCGTAAATGACTTTATGGAAAACAAACGTTTTGTTAATAATACCGTATGAAATTATTTTTGTCCGTACAATAAGTTGCTTAGCATATGTAAACGTTAAAATGAATAGCACTGGAATACATGAACTGCACATTTAGTAGGATACATTCAACACTTCAAATTTTGGCTGACTAGAGACCTAATAAACTAACATTCATTTCTCTCTGAAAAAATTATCCAGTACTCTTCCTGTACATATCCTCTTTTGCTCTAAATTGTCACAACCTACAATTATCTGAGGTAATTAATATTTTCTTATATATTTTAATTTACTATTAACCTTACTCATTATTTCCTACTTAATCCATGTTATTTCATCCAATTTTTACGTTTTAATGTACACATCTTAAATAGTGGCTTGTAATTTTCATTTTTCAATACTGCAACTGTTTTATGCTTTAGTAAATATCACTTTACTCGTGTTCACCATTAGAATCATGAAGTTATTGTGCATTATGAAGGAAACATCTTAAAACTAAGATGAATAGTATGTGTTCATCTACTGACAGAAAGTTCAATTACAGTCCCATAGTTCACCGATTTACTTACAAGCATATGATTAAATATAAACCACATGACATTTGTCTGATCAATGGATTTTGATAAGCTCACTACTAGTTTTAAGCTTAACCAAGTCACATTTGATACAACATTTTTTGGTCATGTGGCTTAGCAAGTCAGTAGCCTGAATCACAAGTTCCTCTGTTAGTCAAAATAAGTGCAAATGTTTTTTGAAACAGAGATTCTGAAAGTCGGTATCTTAGTTCAAAGTAAGATCTTGTGCCAACGATCCATTGGGTTTCGTTATCCCAAAAACATGACAACACCAAGCTTGCCAATAGATGTATTAAAAAGTTTTGATTGACGATAGGCTTCAGCAGTGATCAGGAAGTAACATTCGAAAATATGAAACTATTCACAGCGCGTCATTTATTTAGGTCAAAGTAAATCAATGCTTTTCATGTAATAATTTTTATCCTATTTTCTAAGTCTAATAAAGATGACTTTTAAAAGAAGTGATATTCTATGAGCTACTGTGCTTAGAAAACCGATCCGTATGCAACAAGCATGTTATTAGGACCGATAATTATTTGGACATTTCAGGGTACTATATTTACTTAACTGGAGAAAATGTAACTTCTCTGGAATCTAGTTATAGAGTAGCAAATATACTTCAATATCTCAGAATTATTTTCAACATTTGTTTAACAATCCTTTAACCTGATTATTTTTCAGATGATTAATTTGAATATATAATTATAGAACCTGAAAAGAATCTATCGAAAAGAATATTCGTCGTTCAAATATTAGTCTTTTAATATGATGGGGATCTTTAAACGATTAACATTAGTAACTACCAAAAAAATACTTAAAACGTATATAAAGTTCTTACAACATTGATAGTTTTTATACCTTAAAAATATGATCAATATTATTATAAATATGAGTCTATTAAAATTAGTTTCTAGGCAGATTATCTGTCATTGTAAAAAAGTTCAATTAAGTTTAATAATTTATTATATTTATTAAAAGTAATTGGATGAGACTATAATTTATGGACGACCTTTGAGTGACACTAGCAAGACCTTGAAAATGTCAACCTAAATAATACAGTTAAATGAGGGTTATAAACCAGTGTGAAGAATTAGAATTAATATTTATAGTTGATAGCTAGGGTTAGGAATTGGATATAGAGTATTTATCATCAACTGATATCAGATATAATACAAAAACTCCATTTTGTCAAATGAACAAATTAAGTTCGCGCCAAAATTCAAAACCTGTTATCTTAAATCTGATTAGTTCGTTTATATATTACAGTCTCGTCAGTAAATACATAAATGATCAGAAATTCACTTGGTATTGTTTAGCTTGTATCTTCCTATTGAGGTTTAAGACTGCAATTGATCAGTCTGTTATTGACATATATGCATAATGTGCGTATGCCTCGATATTAAGCTTGTGAATTAAGGCAATTCACGAGCTTTTTGTAAGCAATGATGGATAGTGGCTAGCAGTGAAATCCAAGACGCACGTTTCATCCCATTTGGGACTCGTCAGCTGAATGTACCTACATCTCAGAGTTGATGTTCACTATGGGACTCGAACGCCATCGCGTTATCCACTCAGCTACTGAGTCCTGATAGGCACTTGCTTGTGCAATGGGGTGAATTTAAATTCACTTGATATTGTTTGGCTTGTATCTTCCCATTGAGTTTTAAGACGAAACGCGCGTCCTGGATTACACTGCTAGTCACTATTCATCAGGACATTTTAATCAAATTTATTAAATATTTAAAACTCAATTTTATTGAATAATACATTTATTTTTGTTGTTTAAGTAATATCAGAAAAACAACAAAATAAGCATAAAACTAATTAATAATTAATTAAACATTAAAAAAATTTCTTTTTTCCTTTTTCTTTTTTTAATTACACTTTATAACTGAACGACAATTACTTCATATGAGTTCAGAGAGAAAAAAAATCAAAAAAATATCGGTTATTGATCACAAAACAAAAAAGGGAAGTTTTTCTGGTTTTTACAGAAAACGATGATAATAATTCCTTAAAAGTATTTTCTTACAAAAAAAAAAAAGAAATTTGACAATAAACAAAAGCTTAGAGTAGAAAAAAAGTTGTATTAATTAATGGTTAGTTATTTTGTTTATGGGATAAATAAATAGGAAAAGGAATGTAGTTTAAGTGTTCAAGTTAACATTTTGAATGATTATTACTATTGAACTCAAATCTGAAATGTATGTACTATCTAATGATATAAATAATAATTTATAATAAAACACTTGATTAAATCTATGTACGTGTTTAATATTTATCATATTACTACTGCTATTATTATTATTATTATTATTATTATTATTATTATTATTACTATAAGTAGTACTCGTCAAAGTTTGAAATTTTATTAAAGATGATTGAAAATACTATCGATGAAGTAAAATGAAATTTCAACTTAATGTAATGTTATATAAAATTAATATGTAATTTTGGGCTTACAGTTTTATTTTTGTAAACATAAAGAAATATATAGAGATATTAAATCATTTAATCCTAATTTTCATCAATATATTTCCATGCTTTTGAACTTATACTGGGTTTGTTCATACTTATCTCTTGATAATGAGATGCAGTTTCATTATTTTTAATAAAATTATTAGTATTTATAGAAGGAATATCTGGAAATTCATCTTCTTTATCATGAGTATGTTCAACAGAATTTAATATATTTTGATTTGTTTGGTTTTTTCTATCACCGCTATCATTGCTTTGTCTACGCCATGCACCAGTTAATATAACATCATTATCTAAATTCGATGTTAAACAGAGATGTTCAGGGTTGGGAGATTTAAAAGTAAAACCACAATCACATGAAGAACAATCATCAGTGGAAAGTAAAGCTTCATGAGCTAATATTTTAGCTTTTATATGTTGTTTTCTTCGTAGTTCAAGGCGTTTTTGCAATGCTGGTGTTTTCATTGAATTAGTAGGTTTATTACTTTTGCTTTCATTAACTATTCCTTCTACAGCTGTAAATGAATCATGTGTACTGTTTCTAGATCGAAATCTATTTTTTCCTAATGAGGTATTTTGTACATTGTTATCATTTTCTTCAATATGTGACAGGGTTATACTACCAGAATACTTATTACGTCGATGACGAATCCAAATGAGAACAAGAATTGTAGACAGAACTAACATAATGACCAGAATACATAATAAAATGAAACCAATTGTTAAACCATATTTAAATTCAAGCCGATTATGCTCATGAATATAAGGTCCACTAATATGTATGTTAATATTTCTGTTCCTTGGAATGTCAGTTGAAATCACATGCGGAGAAACTTTATCATTATCTTCTAACACTTCGTTGTTTATAGACTTAATAATACCACCAACTGGATTACGATCAAAATAAAAATCATTATCATGAGCAAAGGTCGAAGGGATCGTTGAAAACAGTGAATGTCAATAACTGATATAGATGAAGTTGCACCTGGAGAGACAGTCGTCACTTCCTCGGATACTGGAGTTTCTGGACTCGAGTCCTGAATCACTGACACATCAGCAGTTGGAGCTGGAGAGACAGTCGTCACTTCCTCGGATACTGGAGTTTCTGGACTCGAGTCCTGAATCACTGACACATCAGCAGTTGGAGCTGGAGAGACAGTCGTCACTTCCTCGGATACTGGAGTTTCTGGACTCGAGTCCTGAATCACTGACACATCAGCAGTTGGAGCTGGAGAGACAGTCGTCACTTCCTCGGATACTGGAGTTTCTGGACTCGAGTCCTGAATCACTGACACATCAGCAGTTGGAGCTGGAGAGACAGTCGTCACTTCCTCGGATACTGGAGTTTCTGGACTCGAGTCCTGAATCACTGACACATCAGCAGTTGGAGCTGGAGAGACAGTCGTCACTTCCTCGGATACTGGAGTTTCTGGACTCGAGTCCTGAATCACTGACACATCAGCAGTTGGAGCTGGAGAGACAGTCGTCACTTCCTCGGATACTGGAGTTTCTGGACTCGAGTCCTGAATCACTGACACATCAGCAGTTGGAGCTGGAGAGACAGTCGTCACTTCCTCGGATACTGGAGTTTCTGGACTCGAGTCCTGAATCACTGACACATCAGCAGTTGGAGCTGGAGAGACAGTCGTCACTTCCTCGGATACTGGAGTTTCTGGACTCGAGTCCTGAATCACTGACACATCAGCAGTTGGAGCTGGAGAGACAGTCGTCACTTCCTCGGATACTGGAGTTTCTGGACTCGAGTCCTGAATCACTGACACATCAGCAGTTGGAGCTGGAGAGACAGTCGTCACTTCCTCGGATACTGGAGTTTCTGGACTCGAGTCCTGAATCACTGACACATCAGCAGTTGGAGCTGGAGAGACAGTCGTCACTTCCTCGGATACTGGAGTTTCTGGACTCGAGTCCTGAATCACTGACACATCAGCAGTTGGAGCTGGAGAGACAGTCGTCACTTCCTCGGATACTGGAGTTTCTGGACTCGAGTCCTGAATCACTGACACATCAGCAGTTGGAGCTGGAGAGACAGTCGTCACTTCCTCGGATACTGGAGTTTCTGGACTCGAGTCCTGAATCACTGACACATCAGCAGTTGGAGCTGGAGAGACAGTCGTCACTTCCTCGGATACTGGAGTTTCTGGACTCGAGTCCTGAATCACTGACACATCAGCAGTTGGAGCTGGAGAGACAGTCGTCACTTCCTCGGATACTGGAGTTTCTGGACTCGAGTCCTGAATCACTGACACATCAGCAGTTGGAGCTGGAGAGACAGTCGTCACTTCCTCGGATACTGGAGTTTCTGGACTCGAGTCCTGAATCACTGACACATCAGCAGTTGGAGCTGGAGAGACAGTCGTCACTTCCTCGGATACTGGAGTTTCTGGACTCGAGTCCTGAATCACTGACACATCATGCAGTTGGAGCTGGAGAGACAGTCGTCACTTCCTCGGATACTGGAGTTTCTGGACTCGAGTCCTGAATCACTGACACATCAGCAGTTGGAGCTGGAGAGACAGTCGTCACTTCCTCGGATACTGGAGTTTCTGGACTCGAGTCCTGAATCACTGACACATCAGCAGTTGGAGCTGGAGAGACAGTCGTCACTTCCTCGGATACTGGAGTTTCTGGACTCGAGTCCTGAATCACTGACACATCAGCAGTTGGAGCTGGAGAGACAGTCGTCACTTCCTCGGATACTGGAGTTTCTGGACTCGAGTCCTGAATCACTGACACATCAGCAGTTGGAGCTGGAGAGACAGTCGTCACTTCCTCGGATACTGGAGTTTCTGGACTCGAGTCCTGAATCACTGACACATCAGCAGTTGGAGCTGGAGAGACAGTCGTCACTTCCTCGGATACTGGAGTTTCTGGACTCGAGTCCTGAATCACTGACACATCAGCAGTTGGAGCTGGAGAGACAGTCGTCACTTCCTCGGATACTGGAGTTTCTGGACTCGAGTCCTGAATCACTGACACATCAGCAGTTGGAGCTGGAGAGACAGTCGTCACTTCCTCGGATACTGGAGTTTCTGGACTCGAGTCCTGAATCACTGACACATCAGCAGTTGGAGCTGGAGAGACAGTCGTCACTTCCTCGGATACTGGAGTTTCTGGACTCGAGTCCTGAATCACTGACACATCAGCAGTTGGAGCTGGAGAGACAGTCGTCACTTCCTCGGATACTGGAGTTTCTGGACTCGAGTCCTGAATCACTGACACATCAGCAGTTGGAGCTGGAGAGACAGTCGTCACTTCCTCGGATACTGGAGTTTCTGGACTCGAGTCCTGAATCACTGACACATCAGCAGTTGGAGCTGGAGAGACAGTCGTCACTTCCTCGGATACTGGAGTTTCTGGACTCGAGTCCTGAATCACTGACACATCAGCAGTTGGAGCTGGAGAGACAGTCGTCACTTCCTCGGATACTGGAGTTTCTGGACTCGAGTCCTGAATCACTGACACATCAGCAGTTGGAGCTGGAGAGACAGTCGTCACTTCCTCGGATACTGGAGTTTCTGGACTCGAGTCCTGAATCACTGACACATCAGCAGTTGGAGCTGGAGAGACAGTCGTCACTTCCTCGGATACTGGAGTTTCTGGACTCGAGTCCTGAATCACTGACACATCAGCAGTTGGAGCTGGAGAGACAGTCGTCACTTCCTCGGATACTGGAGTTTCTGGACTCGAGTCCTGAATCACTGACACATCAGCAGTTGGAGCTGGAGAGACAGTCGTCACTTCCTCGGATACTGGAGTTTCTGGACTCGAGTCCTGAATCACTGACACATCAGCAGTTGGAGCTGGAGAGACAGTCGTCACTTCCTCGGATACTGGAGTTTCTGGACTCGAGTCCTGAATCACTGACACATCAGCAGTTGGAGCTGGAGAGACAGTCGTCACTTCCTCGGATACTGGAGTTTCTGGACTCGAGTCCTGAATCACTGACACATCAGCAGTTGGAGCTGGAGAGACAGTCGTCACTTCCTCGGATACTGGAGTTTCTGGACTCGAGTCCTGAATCACTGACACATCAGCAGTTGGAGCTGGAGAGACAGTCGTCACTTCCTCGGATACTGGAGTTTCTGGACTCGAGTCCTGAATCACTGACACATCAGCAGTTGGAGCTGGAGAGACAGTCGTCACTTCCTCGGATACTGGAGTTTCTGGACTCGAGTCCTGAATCACTGACACATCAGCAGTTGGAGCTGGAGAGACAGTCGTCACTTCCTCGGATACTGGAGTTTCTGGACTCGAGTCCTGAATCACTGACACATCAGCAGTTGGAGCTGGAGAGACAGTCGTCACTTCCTCGGATACTGGAGTTTCTGGACTCGAGTCCTGAATCACTGACACATCAGCAGTTGGAGCTGGAGAGACAGTCGTCACTTCCTCGGATACTGGAGTTTCTGGACTCGAGTCCTGAATCACTGACACATCAGCAGTTGGAGCTGGAGAGACAGTCGTCACTTCCTCGGATACTGGAGTTTCTGGACTCGAGTCCTGAATCACTGACACATCAGCAGTTGGAGCTGGAGAGACAGTCGTCACTTCCTCGGATACTGGAGTTTCTGGACTCGAGTCCTGAATCACTGACACATCAGCAGTTGGAGCTGGAGAGACAGTCGTCACTTCCTCGGATACTGGAGTTTCTGGACTCGAGTCCTGAATCACTGACACATCAGCAGTTGGAGCTGGAGAGACAGTCGTCACTTCCTCGGATACTGGAGTTTCTGGACTCGAGTCCTGAATCACTGACACATCAGCAGTTGGAGCTGGAGAGACAGTCGTCACTTCCTCGGATACTGGAGTTTCTGGACTCGAGTCCTGAATCACTGACACATCAGCAGTTGGAGCTGGAGAGACAGTCGTCACTTCCTCGGATACTGGAGTTTCTGGACTCGAGTCCTGAATCACTGACACATCAGCAGTTGGAGCTGGAGAGACAGTCGTCACTTCCTCGGATACTGGAGTTTCTGGACTCGAGTCCTGAATCACTGACACATCAGCAGTTGGAGCTGGAGAGACAGTCGTCACTTCCTCGGATACTGGAGTTTCTGGACTCGAGTCCTGAATCACTGACACATCAGCAGTTGGAGCTGGAGAGACAGTCGTCACTTCCTCGGATACTGGAGTTTCTGGACTCGAGTCCTGAATCACTGACACATCAGCAGTTGGAGCTGGAGAGACAGTCGTCACTTCCTCGGATACTGGAGTTTCTGGACTCGAGTCCTGAATCACTGACACATCAGCAGTTGGAGCTGGAGAGACAGTCGTCACTTCCTCGGATACTGGAGTTTCTGGACTCGAGTCCTGAATCACTGACACATCAGCAGTTGGAGCTGGAGAGACAGTCGTCACTTCCTCGGATACTGGAGTTTCTGGACTGTGGTCCTGAATCATTGAATTATCTGCAGTCTTAGCTTGACCTTTAATTATTGCTTCGTCGTTCGTGTATTGTAATTTACTTGTGTTCGTATCATCTGTTTCCTTCTTCTTGTTTGTTTGTTTTTCATCTGTTTGTTTTTCATTTTCTGCAAATCTTTTTTCTCCTGTGTTTTCGTTTTCTTTCTCATTATTTCCATCTTTTGATGGCGTGTCTTTTTCGTACTCATTAAGGCCTTCATATTCTTTTTTTATATTCTTCATTTTGTCATGGTTTTCTTCATCTGTATTAATATCCTTTTTAATCCTTCTATTTATTTTGTATTCATTGTTTACTTTTATTTGTTTTTGATGTTCATTATTTTTTTGTTTGTTGTTTCTGTGTATATTTTTTTTACTTGATGAATATGCATTGAATACTTCTGAATGAATATTATTTGCTGAACGTTTTCTTCTATATTTTTTACTTATTGATATTCTATTATTGTTTGTTAATAATTTATTTGTATCTTCTATTTTTGTTTCTTTATTTATTAAATTATTCTCTAACTTATTGTTACTGAGTAATTCATTGAAACTTTGTTCTTCACCAGTTAGTTTATCTATTTCATCATCATATTTCTTTTCTTTATTGATTTTCATATTTGATACTTCTTTTATTGAATGATCAGTATTCGTTTCTGTTGAATCAATAATTTTCTGAATATCATAATCATATAAATGATCAACTGATCGATTTTCATTATCATCCAAATTATTTATTATATTCTTTATGATGAAATTATTCAATACAGTATCCTTGTTTATATTACGTAATAAATGTATAAAGGATTGATTATCAAACGTTTTTAATAAAGATAAATCTTTTATATTATTATTTAAATCAATGATCAATTGTGTAAAATTTTTATTGAATAATTGATTTTTAATTATTTTACTAGATATTATACTACGTAATAAGATTTCATTATTTATATTTTATTAATAATAAATTTACCTTTAGAATGAATTAGTTTATCATTTAATTCTTTTATTCTAAATATTATAGAACATTCTTTATGATTACATGAATTGCCAATAAATTGATTTTGTTTTAATATAATTGAATTATTGATTTTTTGATTGAAATTATTATTTTTTAATGAATAATTACTTTCTTTATTATTATTATCCATAAGGTTATTTATTGTATTAAATGCTTGTATTGAAGCAATATCTTTAAATAATAATAATAATTGGTTATAATTATCATTAATGTTATTAGTAGGAATAATTTCATTATTATTATTTAATTGTTTATCATTTAGATTGGATAATGTTTCATTATGTTGATTTAAGATTTTATTCATCATAGGTAATGAATGAATACTTATATGAAATAATAAAAATAATACTATCGTTATTATGATCATTATTTCAATGGATTCTGTTTTTGTTTTATTTTAATCCAAGAAATATTGTAAATGAAAATGTATCAATTAGTACTTCAATTTATAAAACAGTTATATGAATATTATTAGACTTTTTTAAAATCCATGTTAATGTTATTAGAGATTATCAAATGAAAGACTAAGTCCATATCCATACAATGCGTGGGTACAGATAAATAAGGATAAGTTTGATATATATCAGGTCTGTTTCTTTATATAAGTATAAACATGCAAACCGAATTGGACAAATAGTTTTCTCGTACATTTTATACTTCTATCATCGTTTTTTTTGTGTGATTTTATGTATGTATGCAAACATGTATGTACACCTATTGATGTATTTGTGATAAACACCTAAAAATTTGATAAAAGCACCATTTTCATATATGGTGTAAATTTCACTCATCTAGTATTATATTTATTAATAAGGATAATTTGCATGTGAAAAAGTGTGAGATAATCGCTAACATGAGGGAGACAAGAAAAAAAAGTTACAACATCCAAGAAGAAGAAATAAATGCAGACAAGTACTTAATATTGAAGAATAAACCAATTTACATGTGTTTGATTGGCTTATTGACTAAAATGAGATGCTACATTCTTGTTACTTAGTAAGTATCTACAAACATAAATATAAACATAACTATTCGTAAATATAATTCTTCATATAATAGTTACTCGACGAGTTTTTTTTAATGATTAACAGAGAAAGAGGACATTTGAATTATTAACCATAATTGATGGTACATATCGAAACATTAATTTCTGAAAGGAACATAGAGAGTGCAGTTGTAAGACTACAACTGCTTATTTTAGAGCTAATGGTTTGGTAGTTGATATCTTATCTTAGAAAATATGAATTGTTTAGACTGCACAACGAAATATTTGCAGCCTACCAATAATATTAGTTTGAATAAAGTGAGAGTTTGTCGATTGATTTAAACCATCTTAGAATAGCAAGTAATTCCTCTTGACTACAATTCAAATCTCAAATACCAAATGAGGATAGCTCTTACTCGTGTAAATCAAGATATATCATTATGCTTATCTTAAATATAACTTTTTTGTAGTTAATTTGGTTTCAACACATACATTACGCTTGACATAATTTCTTAACAGGTAAAATACGTATATGGAATATGGTTTAAACAAGATACTTAATTTAGAAGAATACCATAGTATTTTTAATTTTCAGGAAAAAAATGAACTAATTTAATTGTCAGATGATAAACAATCATAATTTTCAACATTTAAATCATCAAAAACTACTTGATTTGTAGTGTTAAGCCATTTCTATGTTTAAGAATAATTCAGTTTCTTTAGATACTGAAATGTAACATACATTAAAATTCTGTGAAGTTTTAACCTACATATTTTAAATGGTAGTATTTAGACATGAAAACATACTGATAGATAGAAGAAACACCAAGAGGATATTGTTCACTTGTACGTAGACAATAAATTAGTAAGACATTGATGATTCCTTTTGTGCTCAGTACTGATATTTATGCAAAGTAATTGAAAACGTGTTATTATCTGCTTGTTAGATGAACAATTCATCTATTTTGTTCTTCAAGTGCTTACAAACTGAAAACGGTCGAACTCTTTTGGTCACAGCTTCTCACTAAAACTCCTAGAATCCTCTCTCGAAGTTAGTCACTAGTGAGCATATGACAAGATTCGAGAGGGGATTCTAAGAGTTCTAGTGAAAAGTGGTGACTAGTATAGTTAATCCGTGTCGGTTCTGAGGTATTTATTCACCGAAGACAATAAAAAATGGTCGCACGACTTTGTAGATTGATTGCAGCTAGACTCTAAAATCAACAATTTCCACAAACTCATACTGATAACTATATTTTCATTAATAAGATGATGATTTTATAGGGTTTAATACTGATAAACAATCCTAAAATTCATAATTTTCCTTATGTTTTGTGCAATGTTCAACTTCGGTAACGTAAAAGTGTCATGCGTTCATATACTTGCCATTTTAGTACATTGCTCATCTATTGTTATTAACTTCACTCGATTCTGTTTTACTTGTATCTTTCCATTGTTATTTAGGATTGCGATTGATCAGTTTCTTGTTGGCATATGTGCTTCCTGTGCAGATTGCCTAGATATAGCTTTAAGTCACAAACTTTTTAAGCAAATATCGATAGTGGCTAGCAGTGGAATCCAGGACGCTCGTTTCGTCTCATTAGGAACTCCTCACTGGATGCACCTGCATTCTAGAGTTGATATTCACTACGGGAATCAAACTTAGTACCGTTCGCTTCAAAAGCCATCGCTATTTTGCAAAGGATAACTTTAAAAATATCAATGTAGAAACATTGTGTTTTCTAAATTAAGTCTCCAAATATTTAGAATACCTTTCTCATTATACCAATATTTACCAATATTTTAGCCAATAATTATCAGCATATTAAGTAACACTTATCCATTTTATTTTATATTTACTTACAATATATTTAGGACCAGAAGGATGGATGGCGTCAATTGAAACTGGGTCAAGTTGTTTCACCGAGTGTCTTGGTAGTATATTAGATCAAATGTGTCGTAAATCATCTTATTCAAATTCTGTGAAACTTATCAATTTAAATTATTCAAACGAAAACGTAGCACAAAGTTTCACTCATCAAGTTGTATCAGTTTTGAAAGGAACAATTATACCTTATAGTCTAAGAAGATTTTTGTGGCCGCTGGCATTATTTACAGTCACTGAACGGACTAGATCAGAATTCGAAAATCCAATTCTTTGGAATGGACATAAAATGAGGTAGAATTGATTTCACAAAATTTATTGTTATTCATAGTCTTTTCTGAGGGTGACTGTAAATGAATTAAGAATAATGTAATGCAAAATGTCTTGATGATCTACTTTAATTGAGCTAATTATTATTGAGTCACTTCATTTTTAGAAAGTTTCTTAATACAGTACAATTACGATCTATTTAAATGATTTGTTTGTAATGCTAGTTGTGTATGTTCTGAGAAGAAACTCAAACTAATTTATTTTCTACTTAGTAAAAGTAATTTAAGCAAAAAATAGATAGCATCTTGAAAGCCACTGTTTCTGAAACTTCAGTTTAAATGTGATAACCGACGAAATTCTGTGGATTCGGTCATATCATGGGTTCAACTTATTTAATCAATTGTAATTGTTAATGAAATCACTAATATTTAATTAATGTTGATTTCATACTCATCTGTGAAACCCATTTAGTATTCCACAGATATGATGAGATTTTATTTGAAAATGAAGATTTCTTAATTCGGTTTGATTATCCGTCAGACGGTTAACGTTTTGACTCAAAATCGATTCAACTTAAAAGTTGATTTTCGTGAAAATTATTGAACTAAATAAATTGCATTCTAATGACTAACAGTAAGTTCTTTTGGCTTTACTGTGAGAATCTTTATATTAATTGCAAATAAATTATCATTGGTTAGAAAGTTTCTCAATTTTGCCGCAGGTTCGTTACCTAAAGTCAGTGCGTTGCTTTTAGATAAGAAATATCACAATTGACGATAGTCATTTCACATGCTTATAGCTGTTTTACTCCCTTTTTTGTTTGCAAATGCCCCGGAATCAAAATCCTGATAAGTAAATTCGACATGGTTTAGATGTATCATAAAAGAATTTAGGTAAGTTATATCGTTTACTGATCATGCAGCAACTTATGCAGATTAACTAAGACTCCTAGAATGCCTTTGAAAATAACTATTTTGTACATAATGAGAGTTAAAAAGCTCCACCGTATGAATAGGAAGCGTGGAATTTAGAATCTAGATCTTTAGGCCTTAAACTATGGAACTGCTAAAGTAAATATCACTGCTTTAACAAGATGTATACTTGAAATTTATTTTGGATCTACATAAAGATTTTTGTGGGAATTTCACAAATGGCTTTCATATTTTCGCCATATTTTACTTAAAACCAAGAGAAATAGAATCATCTGCTCGAAAAAATTTTGGCGTTTTGTTGGCATCTGGAACCGCAAAACTTGGATTGACCACACCAATGTGTTCAAAATTTGATGATATCATTAAGAAAAGTATGAAAGAGGTAAGTAGTTAATTAAACGTTGTTATATATGTATAGATAATGATTATTATCAAAAATAATATATAAATGCCGTTAGAAAAGTATTTTTCATACATGTAGGAAGTTATTCCAACTACAGAGGGCATTGATAAATTGACGACCTCATCATAAATTGGTCATGTTAACTATCGCTAGGTATTTCGACTATTGCATAGATAAAGCATGATAGTTGCCATAAAAATAGGATATTCTAAGTAAGTTTGGGCAGGAAATAACTTTTCAGTGTTTTTTAATTCGAATTATTTATCAAATATTCAGCTTCTTATCAGTGTACACTCGGCAACTATTCTACAAATTTCAAGATATTCAATAAATTCATTCCAATGATTAGTTGATACTACAGACAAATGTAAGAATGTAAATTTTTTTCTGAAATCCTCCTTCATATACATACCCAATCTGTAATTACTCCAGGTACTCATCAATACATGTATGTGGTTATATAATCCGAGATATAAACTAACTCACAATGAATATGTTGTAATGAAGAAAAGAAACGTCATTTAAAGTCATACATAAATCTATAATGAACAGTAAAACAATTTTGAGTTGAGTAGTTAGTGGTAAAATTATTATTTAAAATTACATCACAGTACAAAATGTCGAATTTTACATAAACATTTTCATTGATTTTGATAATTTTGCATCATCTATTCTAGAATGTTTGATGTTAATATCCTCGTTGTTATTCTAGATATTATCAAAAGCGATTCCCAGTGGATAAGACTAATGAGAATTATTACCGGAATCCCTAAGAAGTCTATGACAATAATTTTACTTGTGGATGATCTTTTTCAGATGCTTTATCATCCTATACATTAACCTCACCGACTATTTATTCGGGTTTGACGTCTGACCATGGAACGCTAACTTTTAGATTATAGGTTTGCAGACTGACAAATCGTATAGTTATGCTGCTAACCTGTGGGGTTATCGATGCTTATCTGGTAGTGAACACTTTTATACACTTCAGGAATACTTACAATTACTATGATTTACCTTGTGAACAACGATTAACTAATCCTATTTCACTATAATAGAATTTTATTTATGTGAGACAACTAAGAATATTCCGATCATCTGACAATAAATTCTATTAAGGGTTAACATCCATTGGGACATAAAGCAAAAAATCTGGTTCAGCGAATTCATTCTTAATGTTGTACGACTATAAATACATACTTTTTCCCATAATAATAACTGAGAATACGTTTGTAGATAATATCCATAATTCACTGAACATAACATCAGAAGAGAAAAATAGATAAATAACGAAATTGATATTTTGATCAAGAAAATAAAGATTTACTTGATAAGACACTTATGTTCATCCAGAATGCAATTGAATTTAGATAAAGATTAATCATTATAGAAATTGGCTAAGCGACATGATAAAACAGAGTAGTGAAATGAAAGTGGAATGTAGTTAGAAATGAAAGGACAAAGGAAATAAATTACGTTTCAAGTTCAGAAGTGCAGTGGAGAGAGGATGATAGCTTGAAAATTTATGGGTTAAGACAAGACTGGACTAGCTTCTTCAGTGTTTACCGTTCTGGTTCCCTCAAGTATTCTAACTTACGGATGATTTCGAACGGTGAACCTGTTTTTTTATCGATTGTGCCGCGTTCTTACGAATCCATTGACATCTCTTTGAGATCACTATGAATAACATTTTCCTACCTGCTTGAAAAGAATAAGTACCGGCCGATCAATACACCAAGATATCAACAGGATCAGTTGAATTGCTCAGTCCTAATTAAAGTGACTAGATACATAAGTTTATCCTTAAATTTATCGTTGAACATCGATCGAGTGTAGAACAGAAACCTCAAAGCTGGTGAGAAAAAATGTATGTTTTGTGAGAGTTAAAAATCCTCATCTTCAAGATATTTGCAGGTTTTTTACCTATGAAATCAATTTGTACGCAAAGC